AATGGTTATTCAACATTAATAGTAACTTATAAGTAGACATGCAATTAAACTAATAAATAATAATAATAATAATAATAATAATAATGATAATAATAATAATAATAATAATAATAATAATAATAATAATAATAATAATAATAATAATAATAATAATAATAATAATAATAATAATAATAATAATAATAATAATGATAATAATAATAATAATAATAATAATAATAACAATGATAATGATAATGATGATGATGATAAAAAGAAGAGGAAGAAGGACAGAGGCACTCAATCTGGCTCGGAAACGGAGAATCACATATAATGTTCATTTCCATATTTCTTATTCAGTATGAATGTATATGCTGTATGACTTCTAAGACGCTGTTCTTCTTGGTGCATTGATATCCACAAAGCAGTATAGCCACATGCACCACTGACAAAAACCTTGACACATATCTCATTTCACACCCGATTTGTCGCCGGTGTTTTCATATCCACGTGTATATCTCTATGTGGTTATACATACTCAAGCTTTATTCTTATTGAGCGTATCAGCATATCCACGCAGCCAGAACCTCCCTACTCATACCACACCCACATACGCATCCAATGCAGTAGCTAAAATTAATCCATACAGGAGCAATTAATATCATCCGACTATTTTTACAAGTATTACACGCACAAGTAAAATACGGCATAACTATAATATTAATTAACCACTTTGCCCATGTATTAACCTATACATATTTACAATCCATAAGCGACCACACCCAATTGATGCATTTCCTACCCGGAGGATTTTCACACATCTCTTTCGTTGCACAAGATGCAAATGGTTTGATACTGAATATCGAAGGACGGAGTCTTTGCAGGGCGAGTGCATTGGATCCCAGACGGTTTTCGGAGAAGGTTGTGTTGCTTGCTACATTCCCAAACGGGGTGTGTGTTTTCGTATACAAAGAGAGAAATTAAGGGGATAACGCTGTATTTCCTTTAATATTATGGTGAGATCTTTTGAAATCTTAGTGTTCTTATTATTATTATTATTATATATTATTTATTTATTTATTTATTTATTATTATTATTATTATTATTATTATTATTATTATTATTATTTTATTAATATTATTATTATTATTATTATTATTATTATTATTATTATTATTATTATTATTATTATTATTATTATTATTATTATTATTATTATTACTATTATTATTTTATTATTATTATTATTATTATTATTATTATTATTATTATTATTATTATTATTATTATTATTATTATTATTATTATTATTATTATTATTATTATTATTATTATTATTATTATTATTATTATTATTATACAGAAACAAAACATACTCCAATATGCAATTATACCTTAACCCGCTAATTCAGTATATATCTTGACCTAATATTTAAATAGATATTGATCACGCAATAATAAAAATAATAATAATGATAATAATAATAATAATAATAATAATAATAATAATAATAATAATAATAATAATAATAATAATAATAGTAATAATAATAATAATAATAATAATAATAATAATAAGAGTAACTATAACAACAATAAGAGAAATAATAATTGGTTTGATAGTAAATTAAAACAAGTTTTATATCTGATTTAAGATTTGATAGTTCATACTAGGTATGAGTCTTATAGATGATTGTTCAGATCCTCTTGTTTAAGACAGAACTCGGTGTATACATTACGACACAAGTATATTTCATTTTTAATATGCAGATTTATTGCAGATTTTAAATATCCTATTTGGGTCTACAGCTTTATAATTTTCATTAAAAGGCATATTTTGCATTGGCTAAATTCACAGACTTAATTATGTATGTGTGTATGAATCTGTCTATCTGAATATATATATATATATATATATATATATATATATATATATATATATATATATATATATATATATATATATATATATATATATATATATATATATATATATATATATATATATATATATATATATATATATATATATATATATATATATATTTCTCATTTTTATTTTCCAACCCAGCAGATCATTGATTTATAATGGAATCTCTCCCTCATTACTGCAGATGACTATAAAATCCAAGACAATGCATCGTGTTTTATATGTTGTAAGTGTAAACTGAAATGGTAACTTAATTAGAATAATTATCTGCTTTCATTTGTTTGTGTAAATCATTCAAAAGTCATAAATGTCATTCATTGATACAATAATACAAAAATGCCAAAAAAAAAATGCAAAAAACAAAATACAAAAATGCAAAAATTTCAAAAATGCTCTCGACCAGCTTTGAATACATATGAGGCAGTGATAATTAGATAATTAAGTAGATAAAAGTTATATTTTCAATTTCCAGATCTTGATTTTTCTTTGGATCAATTATGGAAACAAGGAGCCCATAGCCTATGCAGAGGAGACAGGCACGAACAGAAGAGACTCTGTCACGTTTCCTGGAAAGTTCACTTGGGGTTATGTAAAAGACATTAGTGAACCACTGATTTACACAACTTCTGGTGATTCCAAATCTACGTCTAATTCAAGAATCAAGAGGAATGACCTTGGTTTTAAGGGTTCTGTGACTTATGGAGCGAGGGGACGATGGGTTGGCAGAGCCATTCCAGTCATAACTCAACCCAGGAACCAAGTAGTTTCTGCATCCATGTTTGTCAATGGCGGTGATCCACACTACGGTGTTTACAACCCATATGAACATAGGCAGTACGGGATTAATCCTTCAAGTTCTCCTCCTTATGCTGGGCCACCACAAGGATCAAATTACCACCCACCATATGCACCTAATTGGCATAATTACTATACTCTATCACCACCGCCTCCTCCCTCATCGAATTATCCTCCTTGCAGGTACTGTCAAGGAAACTATCATTCTCTTACAAGACCTCGAGTAGTATACAGAGAAGTTGATCCTAGTTATTTGGTCTATGCTAATAATCAAGGACCTCGGTCTTTGTTGTTGTCCAGGGAACCTGTGCGGATCAGTATAACTCCATATGATGATACTTCCAAGAAATTTAGTTCACCCAATTCCAATAAATTCGGTACTTCTGGAAAGCGTTCTATAAATAAATTTTTCGACGAATCAAAGATTGAGCTTCTTGATATGCCCAAAAAGACGTCCATGACCAAAAAGCCCAGGAAATATCTGCATACCAAGGGCCTTCTGAAAAACTCGACTAGAGTCAAAGACGCCCTATTTTCGGCATCTACGAACGCTGAACCTAAGAATAACGTTGTGTCTGGAATAATTAGGATATTACCTGCAATACCAGGAAATGAAATTAATGTCGAAGGCCGAAGTAAGCCAATATTTTTCTCAATCAGGAACCACCAGGATAACACGCGCAGGAAAGATGTAACCGATGAAGATGGCTGGACGGTCATCAGACAACGATTTATAGGCACCATCAGACAAATATTTCCCCCATTTGAAGAAAGAACTAGACCAATTGACGACGATGTTGAAATCCTGCCAGATTTCTCCGACAGACTGGCATTATTTGGAACACCAATTTTGCCTTCCAGAACAACATATTCATTGGACTCCGATTATGAAAAAGCCTCTAAAGACAGAGTATATGGCATCACAATCGCCAAATTTAAACGGGAGAGAGAGGGTAACAAGAATTATCCAGCGCAGCCAATGGCTTCTTTTCTAGATACCAGAGATGACGTCGAGAGAGATTCCAGTATGAAGATTTCCACGCATTTCATGACATTGAGTGTCGCAGTTTTAGTGTGCATTGGCATGTCTCATTGGTTACTCAAATGATTTGACATTGTATATACATCATAGCAATCTCCTGGACGATTTATGGGTTTCACAATGACGTAGCATTTGAAGAAACAACGTATATATCATATTTCTAACTTAGATATATTATAAGAGTAATATATAAATATATTAGTATGTTTAGTTACGAAATAAGTTTTCCATTCGTGCAAACACCTGGAAAATAAAATATGTGGAATAAACTAAGATCTTTATGTGTATATAACATGTCCTTAACGATATAATTATATACTTATGTGCGTGCGTATAATATATATATATATATATATATATATATATATATATATATATATATATATATATATATATATATATATATCCCCTGAGGGAGGGGGAAGACTACTTCCTCCGTGTGTGTCGTAAAAGTCGACTATATGGGGCGGAGCGAGGAAACTTCGAATCCCATCCTCTGCATTTTCTTCACACAAAAAGTCAAGGTATTTTACTTTGACTCAGCCACCCCCTTAGAAGGGGGAATATGGCTCTTATATATATATATATATATATATATATATATATATATATATATATATATATATATATATATATATATATATATATGAAGCAAAAAAAGGCCCATAAATAAAACACAAAAAGAAGCGAAGATGTACTATATATTACGACTGGACTCCAGTCCTCTTCAGGTACAAAATGTACCTGAAGAGGACTGGAGTCCAGTCGTAATATATAGTACATCTTCGCTTCTTTTTGTGTTTTATTTATGGGCCTTTTTTTGCTTCATACTGTGCTGTGATATAACAGTTTATTTTGCATATATATATATATATATATATATATATATATATATATATATATATATATATATATATATATATATATATATATATATAATCAAATTAGCACCTTACCATATGTGAAAACATGGATCATATTTTACTCCGACTGGGACTCGAACCTAGGACACATAATTACTGTGCCAAGGCGCTACCAACTTACACCACAGAAGGTAATAGAGAAACAAACTTTACAACTTTAACTGCTATACTAGGAATGAACGCATTTTATCTGAATGCCGCTCTGTTCATATTAGTTTCCCCCAGCCTCACTCGTGGCTCCGCTTTCGCATTTAATCATATCTCAATCTAATAAGTTATCAACAATATCCAAATAAGCACATTACCGTATGTGAAGACATGAATCATATTTTACCCTGACTGGGACTCGAACCCACGACACATAATTGCTGTGCCAAGGTGCTACCAACTACACCACAGAAGGTAAAAGAGAAACAAACCTTGCAGTCTTAACTGCCATACTAGGAATGAACGCATTCTATCTGAATGCCACTCTGTGCGTATATTCCTAGTATTGTAGTTAAAGCTGTAAGGTTGCATACCTTCTGTGGTGTAGTCTGTAGTGCCTTGGCACAGTAATTATGTGTCCTAGGTTAGAGTCCCAGTCGATATAAAATATGATTCATATTTTTTACATATGATAATACGCATATCTGATTATTGATGATCCCTTATAAGATTAAGATTTGAATTAAATACGACAACGAAGCCACGAGGGAGGTTGGGGAAACTTTTAATATGAACAGAGTGGCATTCAGATAGAATGCGTTCATTCCTAGTGTAGCAGTTAAAGCTGTAAGGATTGTTCCCCTTTTACCTTCTGTGATGTAGTTGGTACTGCCTTGACACAGTAATTATGTATCCTAGGTAAATGTGCTTATATGATTATTGCTGATCCCTAATTAGACTGAGATTTGAATTAAATGCGAAAACGAAACCACGAGTGAGGTTTCGGAAACTGTAATATGAACAGAGTGGCATTCAGATAGAATGCGTTCATTCCTAATATAGCAATTAAATCTGTAAGGTTTGTTTCCCTTTTACCTTCTGTGGTGTAGTTGGTAGCGCCTTGGCACAGTAATTATGTGTCCTAGGTTCGAATTCCAGTAGGGGTAAAATATGATTCATATATATATATATATATATATATATATATATATATATATATATATATATATATATATATATATATATATATATATATATATATATATATATATACTGCACATGAATTATTTCCATTTATACATACGCCGTAGATCATTGCTGAGGAAATATACTTGACTGGTTCACGTAATAAATTGGAAAAATATACAAAGATGGATAAATGTACATCACGAACTTCTACTAAACTAAGGATAAAATGCGTTATTAAAGAATTTATATTAATAATAATAATAATAATAATAATAATAATAATAATAATAATAATAATAATAATAATAATAATAATAATAATAATAATAATAATAATAATAATAATAATAATGATAATAATAATAATAATAATAATAATAATAATAATAATAATAATAATAATAATAATAATAATAATGATAATAATTATAATAATATATTGACTGATTGATTGATTGATTGTTGAAAAAGAGTTTAGATTTTAGATTATTTTTTATAATTTTTGCGTTTGAGGAAGATAGGGATTACATATTATTTTCGCTGGCGTCTATATTGTTCTCGTATTATTTTTGTAGGAATTGAATACAGAGGATAAGGATGCCTTGGGTGGGGACTGATAATTTTCTCTTCCCTGAATTTAGTTTCTTTACAAGTAACTGCTAGAATATATATGCTAGTTTTTATTTGTGTTTTCACGGAAGACATTAAGGTTATTAAAAAAATAAATAAAAAAAAACACACACACACAAACTGGAAAATATATGTATATTTTATGGTTCGCAAAACAAACAGAAATGTATACCTGCGGTAGCTTGGTTTTGTCAATGACTCACATCACAGATCGTGTACCAATATTACTACATTTTTTTTTTTAAGGGACGAGGAGGTGTTGGCCTTGAAGAAAGTCAACCATAACTTCAACTAAATTACAAGATTTTATTTTATCTATTATAAGCGCAAGGCGTGCATAGAACATCTTGAATGGATAGATAGACGAAAAGGTAGATAGAGAGATAGATAGTTGCTATAATTATAATTAATCATGCAATATTTATGTTAATATAGCTGGTTCATTGAGAGAAAATTGGAATGTTCTTATATTGTAATAACCATATTAAGTAAATTTTATGAGGAAAACATTTTTTATTATAATCAATATAATTTTCCTAATTAGGAGACAGGTAACCACCCTTGGATGGATGGGTTGGTGGTGGATTGGTAGGTGGGTGGGTTTAGATGGATAGATAAATAAATAGATAATTGTAACGTCTTCTGAATACATGTACTATGTCTAATGATACTGAATTCTCTCTCTCTCTCTCTCTCCTCTCTCTCTCTCTCTCTCTCTCTCTCTCTCTCTCTCTCTCTCTCTCTCTCTCTATGCTATATCTATATAAGCAATAGCCGCGTTCATTAGGTTGAGAGGATGTAACGCTTTAAGGCTGCGTGAGGAACTCGTTCTACTGTTGATAATGACAGCATATAAAACGCAAAAGAAACCAACTGATACGGTAGCCTACTTACTATAAAAGAAGGCCTTGAAATTAAAAGTATACCAGGCTCTGGATGCTGGAAAGAATATGCATACATAGGTGTTGTTTCAAACATATCTTTTGCGGTTGCGTGATAAATTTTCCGCTTGCTGTGCCAAGAAAAACAAGAGTGACATTTATATTTTTATGCAAGAGAGCTTTATTTTCTTCCTTCTTCTTCTTATTATTATTATTATTATTATTATTATTATTATTATTATTATTATCATTATTATTATTATTATTATTATTATTATTATTATTATTATTATTTCTTCTTCTTCTTCTTCTTCTTCTTCTTCTTCTTCTTCTTCTTCTTCTTCTTCTTCTTCTTCTTATTATTATTATTATTATTATTATTATTATTATTATTATTATTATTTTTATTATTATTATTATTATTATTATTATTATTATTTCTTCTTCTTCTTCTTCTTCTTCTTCTTCTTCTTCTTCTTCTTCTTCTTCTTCTTCTTCTTCTTCTTCTTCTTCTTCTTCTTCTTCTTCTTCTTCTGTTCTCTTTTTCAAGGCTGTTCACAGTGATTGAACCCCATCTATCAAGTTATTGGAGTAGAGAACTAAGGTTCATTATTATTATTATTATTATTATTATTATTATTATTATTATTATTATTATTATTATTATTATTATTATTATTATTATTATTATTATTATTATTATTATTATCAGCAACGGCAGAAACAGCAGCAGCAGGAAGAGCAGTATTTTTAGTAGTAGTAGTAGTAGTAATGTTATTATATAGATAGAGAGATAGATAAATGGATGAATGGAAGAATGCACAGATAGATAGATGATATTTGTGTATCTCAGTTACCAGGGTTGGAAAAATTCACGATTGTTTTAAATAAAAAAAAAATCTATTTTTTTTTTTTATATTTAAGTCGGATTTTCTTTTATTTAAATCGGTATTTTGATTCTTTTACTCCACATACAACAATATTCCTCCACAGAGGTGAGCAGGATAATAACTAATAACTACAACTGTTCTTAAGGCGTGTACAGTTGTCCCCAATCTTACATGGCTTTAATTAGTTGAATTTGAGTATATGCAAGGCTGGAGAGTAATAAAAAATTGAAATTTCACACAAATTTTCCTACAAAAATATATTATTACTACTACAGTTCTGTTTTTTTTTTATTATTATTAATTTAACTTGTATTTGACAAAGTTTAACAACAGATCAGTAATTTAAGCATAATTCAAAGTGTACAGTAAGTTATGGAAAGATTGTATGCTAATTACAGACTCACTTATATATGGATTTGGACTATATACAATTTTTTACTTATTTGGGAAGTGGTGGAACCAATTAAAAAATGAAGAACTACTGCATTTATGAAAGAAAAAAGTATTAGGCAGATTTATAGAAAACAATTAGATAAAAATATTCTGTTAAAATTCAGACAGTACACGTTTAATAAACATGTACTTATTGTGAAATTTTTCAAACTCTAAAACAATTTAATGCACAAAGTATGCTTCAATGAAATCTTATGAATAGTCTCCAGCTTAGATACTCTCTTTGTTGATAAAAATGCAGATTTTTAAAGATACTAAATTCTTACATATTTCATCCTTTAAAAAACAAAAGTGACTAATATTGAGAATGTGCTTAGCTGAAATGTTTATGAACAGTCCCAAGGTTTGGTACTATTTCCTAATTTTGAATGCACAGAGCAGACGTAAACACGTGCCACTCCGTTTTCAGCCATTAGAAATAAAAATGCAATTATTAAAACATATCTAGATGAAATATCTATGAACTCTTCAACTTTGTTTCCTTTTCCTGACCTAATTGATTCCTGATCTTAGAATGAACAGAACCATACTATGAGAAAATTCTCTCAAAACCAGTAAATCATACAAGTGCTGCAAATATACTCCAACTTCCATTTATTTCAAGAAAGAAGTGCAACATTTGAAGGGCTTTATTTGGCAAAAATATTGTAGAATCCCTCTCCCCTTTGCTTACTGAAGTATTTTGCAAATGATTTTAGAATATGTTTTGCATGCTTCTGTGCAGCTATCATCCTCCAACTTTCATTTATTTCATGGATGAAGTGCAACATTTGAAGAGCTTTACTTGTCAATAGAATCCCTCTCCTCCTTTGTATGCTGATGTATTTTGCAAATGATTTTAGAATATGTTATGCATGCTCCTCTGCAGCTATAGCTGCACAGGAGTATACATAATATATTCTAAAATCATTTGCAAAATACTTCAGCATGCAAAGGGCGAGAGGGATTCTTCAATATTTTTGCCAAATAAAGGTCTTCAAATGTTGCACTTCCTCCATGAAATAAATGAAAGTTAGAGGATGCTGGCTGCACAGGAGTATGCATAACATATTCTAAAATCATTTACAAAATACTTCAGCATGCAAAGGGGGAGATGGATTCTACAATATTTTTGCCAGATAAAGGTCTTCAAATGTTGCACTTCCTCCATGAAATAAATGAAAGTTGGAGGATGATGGCTGCACAGGAGTATGCATAACATATTCTAAAATCATTTACAAAATACTTCAGCATGCAAAGGGGGAGAGGGATTCTACAATATTTTTGCCAGATAAAGGACTTCAAATGTTGCACTCCTTCCAGGAAATAAATGAAACTTGGAAGATACTAAAACTGGCACTAACAAACATTTTGCTTTGCAGTGTGTCGCTGCTCTGGCGTCAGAGACCTACCTTTGATATACTGCTTTTGCCAGAGAGTGGAAAAGTGTCAAAGC